AATGAAATGGCTATTCTATAGTAATTGCATGACAATTTAGGATCTATTCAAATCTTTTTTAAGGTTTTAAGGAAGAATGACACCATTAAGAAGGGGGAAAAAACAAAAAGATAGATCCCCATCTCCTGTAAAGATTCAGACAGCTAATTTCAACAAGCTCCCTTTTTGTTTGCCAAATGCAACACCTAAGGAGAGATCCATTGACAATCAACACTGGTAAAAGAATGCCTTACCATCTTTACACCTGTCTTGGACCATTGAGTTTACTTATCCACAAGAATAAAACTCAACCCTCTTACTTGCCTTCTATAATACAAAACATTTTTAAGATCAAGGATGAACAAACTCATCAACAGTTTCCACCATTTTCCATCCTTCAATTTTTTCTTTTCCTTAACTCAAACAAAAACTCAAGAATAGATAAAAAAAACTTAAGCCACAATATCCAAAAAGTGTGGAAATCAGCTTTCGCAACCATTGCGTCCCCCACTTCACTAGCACATTAGATAAACAAATAAAAGTTATGCGTATGCACCTTTTATCTTATCTCTAGCATAAGTTCCTTTTACTTCTAAGAACTGAGCAATGCAAATCTAATCACATGCTACCGAGTTATGCCTTGATCAGGGTCCTCTTAAAGGTGTCCAACTTTCATTTAAATGCAAGAACAATCTGAATTAAAAATTATTTAACCCTTGTGTAATATCAACCAAATGATATTGAGCTTAAGCATAAAGGACATGACTCGAGAACCCTAACGACATAATCAGTCCAGTAGAACTATCAATGAAAAACTAAAGAACCAATCCCAGAATTTTGAGGTTTTCGACAAACCAAGTGCAATACAGATGGCCACAGAAACCCCAAGTAAAAAGGAGCTATGAAACAAGTAAATAGAAAAACCCTAATCTTGGGGTTTAACAAACCAAATGCAGAAACACTAAACACAAGAATTATAAGAGAAGGGAAGAGAAGGAGTTGGATACCTGGAGGTTGTGGGTCTTGATGTAGGACCAGATCTGCTTGACTGCATCACTACGAGAGGCTTCATTGGCTCCAAGAAACGCGCCCAAGGCAGGGGAAACAGGAGCGACCTTGAGAATGCCGGTGGGTCGGACCATGGTTCGAGGGGGCGATTTAGGCTTCCGGAGACTAGCTGTCTTCGGCTTCTGAGTCGATTTCGAAGGCGATTTTGTGGTAGCAGCAGCAGCAGCAGCGCCGGCAGATGAGGACCTGGCAGCAGGTGCCGGGGCCAACAGCGCCCTGCAACCTCGGAAAACCCTAGCAGTTGCACCAGACATTTGCTAGATTTTCTCTTCAGACAAGCGCTGGGTTTTGGTCTACTCTGAGTAAAAACGAGAAAGGAACGGAGAAAGGAGCTGTCCGACTTACTTTAAAAATGCAAGGGTATTTTCCATTTCTCTGAATGCCCCTGCTGTATTCAGAATCATTGTTAAGATGGATTTTTAAATGCAACTATTTAAAATTTTTTTTTTTTTATTATGGATGGGTAATGGTTATTATAGTTATAATTTCGTTTGAGAATGTTTTTTTTGGTGTTTTAATTTTAATTTTTTATATATTTTTTATTATTTTAAAAATATATAAAATATTAATTCAAATAAATTTTAAATATATTTTATATATTTTTAAGATGTTAAATAATTAAAAAATGTACAGTTGTAATGGTAAGTGTTAGCACTATAAAATTAAGTTTAAATTTGTTAATGTTACAAAAAAATTATTAAATTTTTGTTCTAATTTAACTATTAAAAATAATTGATAATTAATTAAAAATTATTATTTATTATTTAATTTATTAAAATTAGTTTATATACAAATATTTTTAAGTATCATAGCAAACTATTTAAAAAAATTGTAAGTTCATAAAATTACAATTAAAGTGATGACTTTAACAAATTTAATGGTGACAATATCTCGTTTTCATTTCTTAATTCTTTTATTTTAAGAAATAATCATTTTTCATTTCTTAATATACCCAACACATTTGTCATGTTACTTAAACTTAAAATTTTTTGCTTCTAATCTATAAAGAAGTGTTTCCATTAGTTAAGATAGATCAAGAAATTTTAAATTTTAAATTTAAATTTTGAGATAAGTGAAAGAAGTTAAGAAAATAAAAAGATTATTTTATGTTATATAACATATTATCAAATGTATTAAAAAAATTAATTGTCTTATTTTCACATATTATCACTAAACTACCTTATTTTTTATGAATAGCGGCTTAGTTCGATTGGTCATGCAATTTTTCTTTTGAAAAAAATTAAGGACTCGCTAAATACAGTTATGGTTTTGAATTTCACGTTTTGTATTTTAAATTTTATAACTCTAAATTAAAATATTTGTTTACTTTCATATTTTTTATAGTACGTTATTATTATTACTAGAGAAATAAGAAAAATGTAATTTTAAAACTATTAAACAAGTTTATATATTTTTCTGTCAATATTAAAATTTATCTTAAACAATCTTTTAGTTTTAGTTTTTAGTAATTATAAAATTTATAAAAATCAAAACAAAAAAATTATAAAGCATAATTATATTAAATAAAGTCTAATGAAAGGTATTAATTCAAAACAAAAATATGTTATATAATTTTAATTTTATTAAATTGTACAATTTAAACTATTAAAAGAAAAAAACCTTTATTGTTAAGATTATTCTTTTAATGAATTATATTTTTCAATTCCATACTATTTGAATCATAAACATGCAACTCAATTCAAAAATAGGAAAAAAGATAAACACTAAAAAATGAGTGAAATGGTCTACTTTTTCTATTGAAATTTGAAGCGGTTAATTTTCAACCTTCACGAGTTATTGAAGCTTGAAAAATGAACCTGAGTTTGATGTCAAGCTTAAATTCGATTTAAGTATTTAACTTTAGATTTTTATAAGGTGTAGATTAAAAATATATTAAATATATATTTTTGTTATAAATATATATATAAAATAAAAAATTACTATTAATTTTAATATTAAATAAATTTAATTAAATAATTAATAAATTAAATATTAATATTTATTTTTTAATATAAATTTATAATAAAAAATATATTTAATATACGCTTAATCTACATCTTTCGCATTAGAGAAACCCTCACTTATTCACAACTCTAACTCTTGCTTGAAATAGTGCTATCAATTAGATTGATTTTATCACATGATTCAGGGGAGGATTTAGTGGCGACCCAAGTTATATGGCACTTATTTAATCATTCTGGTGACGAAGATTGTGGAGAGAGAAGGAGAGGATGAGAGAGGCACTTATTTACTAATTGAAATTAGATTTTGATTCTCTTTTTTTTTTTAATAAAATATTTTAAAAAATTAAAATTAAAATACTTTAGTATTAAAAATATCATAATATTTAATTATAGTTATATGATAAATAAAATTTAAATAAAATTTATACTATATATCATTTACTTTGTGACTGTAATTAAACATTTTAATATGTTTAATGTCAAAATATCTTTTTTTATATCTTTAAATATCTTTTTGTTTAATACTTAAATATTAACAAATAGCTCTCAAAATACAAAATATATTTTTTTAATATTTTTTATTTAACTTTAATAAATTTAATTTTTAATTTAAAGTATTTAAATTTAA